TGCTGCTGTCCTGCGTGCTGTCGGCGCTGGGCTCCGGCCTGCTGGTGGCCACGCACGCCCTGTGGCCCGACCTGCGCAGCCAGGCGCGGCGCCTGCTGCTCTTCCTCTCGCTGGCTGACCTGCTCTCCGCCGTTTCCTACTTCTATGGGGTGCTGCAGGACTTCACGGGCTCCTCGTGGGACTGCGTGCTGCAGGGCGCCCTCTCCACCTTCGCCAACACCAGCTCCTTCTTCTGGACCGTGGCCATCGCCCTCTACCTGTACCTCAGCATCGTCCGCGCCGTGCACGGGCCGAGGGCCAGCCGCTTGTTCTGGGCCTTCCACATCATCAGGTGAGTGGCGGCCGCACTGCTTCCTTCTGGCCCCCACCCGGCCTGGGTCCAGTGTGCTGTCCCTGTGACCCTTGAGCCCTCTGGTGTCTTCTCTTGTTTGGCCCTCTGGCTGGCCGCCAGTGGGCAGTGTGCCTCATGCCCAGGCAGCCCTGGGTCAGCTGGAGGGGCCAGGCTCACCTGGAAGGTGAATTTGGCCGAGCATCACCACAAAGGCTGTCCCTTTGTGCCTGTCCCAGCTCCAGTCTGCAGCGAGGTGGGCACTTGGGGGGCAGAGTGCACCCTCGGAGCCCAGCCCTGGTAACTCGGAAGCCCCTGGAGGGCCGGGGCAGACCCACTCGCCCTGGCCTCTGCCCATCCCTGCAGCCCCTGGGGAGAAGCCCTGGCCCTCCTCTGGGAGCTGAGTGAGGTGGGGCCCCAGCTGGAGACCAGAGCAGACCAGTCCCACGGCCGCCCCAGTCAGTGGATAGTGCGGTCCGTTTGGGGCCGCCTGTCTCTCCAGCCCTTCCAGCCCTGCCTGGGCCGCGTGCAGGCCTCTGCGGCAAAGTCCACGCAGGACTGTCTTTACTCTGTCTTTGGTGGTCTCTGAGCTTCGGACCCAGTCTCTTGCTGTCTCCGAGCCAGATGGTCTTCCTGGCCTTCTCGAGTGGGCACCTCTGAGGCTGAGGTTAGAGGACGAGGAGCCTCAGCTGCTGGGTATCTCGGTCAGCAGAGGAAGCCAAGGCCTTGCCTGCCCCGGCCTTGGAGCCTCCCGTCCAGCGGCCCTCAGCTGGGGAAGGCTGGCCCCTTCCTGGTGTAATTTTAAGAGTCCACAGCTGTGCTGAACCCCAGACAGGGATCCCACAGGCCTGTTTGCTCTCCTTCCTCCCTGAGATAGGAGCACGGAATACCACGCTAATTATAGGTCCTTCTGCGACATGCTTGAGTGCTTTCCAAGGGGCTGAGGACAGTCAGCACTTTGGTAGGCAGGTCACTTGGGTGTCCCGCGTGCCTCACAACAGTGAGATCACCGGCCTGCAGGAGTCACTTGACCTCCAGGTCTCCAAGCTGCCGGACTGACGCCCGCCGGTCCCTGGAGTCTAAAGGGTCTGCTTCTCAGCTGTTCAAGTCCAGTGCTTTGCAAGGAGCCATTCAGACAGTGCCCCGGGCACCGCGGGCTGCAGAGAGAACACCTCGGGCGGCCCCTCCCACCGCAGCAGCCCACCTGACCACCGAGTCCTCTCCAGGCTCTAGGTCATTAGTTCTTGGCCAGCTGGTTGAGTGTGGGTGGCTTGTATGTCCAGTCCGCTTGTATCTGAGGAGCCCAAGGCTGGACCTTTCCTTGTAAGAATCTCTTCCTCCTTTGGTCCAGTATCTTGACCATTGAGTAGCAGAATCTGCTACAAGACACACTTCCTTTTCTGGTCCAGAGGTGTTTTCTGTGATGCGTAAGGAAATCTGGATCCCCTTCCTTCTGGCGCCAACAGAAGCAAGTTGTTCGTCCTGTCTGTCCAATGTCTCACCTGGTCCTTCAAGAAGAAAATTACGAGGACCCAAGCATGAATGAGTTTGACAGTTTCATCCCACTGGGCTCCCTTTCGGCAGCGTGACCAGCCCTGGCAGGAGTGGTCAAACCCGTGTGGCCGGCTCTCCACTGCGCCTCCCGTGAGGGCAGTGACCTAGCCAAGGGCTCTCTAACACCTTGCTTGCGGTGTTTATTTTCGCTGAAGGACTTGTTGGCCTGGACACGTTCAGATCCAGGCGGGCTGCCAGCTCCTGCTCCCGCGGCCTCACAGGCCCCTGGGAACCAGCGCTCCCCGGACCTCCCAGGGAGGAAGTGTTAAAGTATCAAGACTCCACAGTTGGAGACGCTGTTCTGGTTTAAATCGGCAAGTGTCCTGGTAAATGGACAGAGGAGATTGTAAGAATAGGAAAAGCAGTGGATGGATGAGTGTATCTAGGGAAAGGCCAGCCCCATCAGCACGCAAAACAATATAAATGATAACAACGAGCTGCCATTTGCTCCCCCAGTGAGAAGGAACAGCGCAAAGCAGGGCAGGAACCCCACCAGTGCCTGGGAAACTGGGGTTTCCTACATTGTTATTGGCAAAGTGAACTGGAAGAACCCCCAGAGAAAGTGTCTGTTACACCCCTTGATCCAGAACCCTGCTTATCTTGTGATAACCCACCCACCTGCACCTGCACCTGCCCCTGCCCCTGCACCTGCGGGGAGTCCGCTCGGTCCCGTTATCTTGGGGAAAACTTAGAAATGACCTCAGTGTCCAGAAAGTAGAGAAATAGCAAACAGACTGCACCCCCTTGGAAGTGTTTTGCAGCCAGAAACTACTGACCGTGAACTCTAAAAGCTATAGATATTTTTAATGGATCTGATACATTGTTAAGTGGGGAAAAAAATCTATAAAACTGAATACAAGATAGAATCTTGCATCTAACCTTCCCAGAAGCCCCCGACTGCCCCCAGGGCACTACCTGACCAGTTCCCTTTACAGATGGACATCGCCCCACCCCCCAGCACTGCCAAGGCGGCAGGCGGCCCTCAACTTTTATCTTCAGGGGAATTGTATCTGGCTCCTGAGATCTGGCCAAGGACTGGGCAGGCCTCAGCTCCTGCATGGGTACCCCCAGGGCCCCCCTGCTCAGCCTTCCCGGCGATGGGTGGTTAGAATGCCAGGCAGCCCTCCCCTTCCGTCCCATATCGCCTCCCTGCCTTGACAAGGATGTGTTTGGAACTCTCCACATTCCCCCCACTGCTCACATTTTACGGTTAGTTCAGTCTCTCCAGTTACTTTTTCCACAACCATCAAAGAAAAGTTGCAGCCAGATGTCCCTGAACCCTAAATCCTTTCATGTGGACTCCCCAAAGACAGTGTCTCTCACAGGGCCACACCAGCACTGCCGGTGGCCCAGGGACTTTATGGGGTTTGGATGAGCCCTGGGAACCCAGGAAGTCTCAGCTTCATTTTCCCATCTCTGCTCTCCCTCTATCTGGAATATTCTTCCACCTGGTGCTTCCCGACGTTGACTTGAAGGCCCGTCCACCAGCGTCCAGCCTTGTCCTTCTCTTGCTTCCCCAGGTGGCTGGGCCTGTGCTGGCTCTGGTGTGAGACTTTGGTGGCTGGGTCAGGTGTTATCTGTCCATCCCCCCTCAGGTGACTGTTTTCCCTTTTGTGTTAATAAACATCTGGCTATGGGCCATTTGTTCATCCCTTTACCCTCAGGCCTCCCGCCATCCCTCCCCCTGGAGCTTGGCAGCTTTGGGGAGAATGCCTTTCTTTGGCTGTGGCCTTTTGAAGGCTGGAGAGTGCTGGGGAAGCTCTGTATTGTATGGAGAAGCCTCCAGTCTGACTCTTGAGGACACAGCCCTGGCCCTGGGGGAATGTGTCTGTGGGGTCACTTCCACCAGGATATGTCAGGTTGGCCGGAAGTGTCTGTCCCCTCCCCTTGCCTTCCAAACAGCTGTCTCCTAGAAGGGAGGTGCTAGTAAGCACCCCACCTGCAGGTGTGTGTGGGGGGGGTGTAGGGTAGGGAGTAGGGAGGCGCAGCTGGCAGGAGCGCCTGGCCCCAGGTCGAGGTGAGGGCTCTGGGCTGGCTGGCCGCCTCCAGCCACCTGACCCTTTCCCCTGGCTCCCTGGAGGCCGAGCAGGCGAAGGCTGACCCCGGCGAGTGGACCCCTGTGTCCCCCACTCTCAAGTTTGCTAAGAGTTTCCTGGGGAGGAAAGAAGCTATGGCGCCTGCACCCCAGTTCACCGTCACCCACTGCGGTGGGAAGTGGGAGGTCCCAAACAGAAAAGGGGAAATGTGGCCCTGAAAGGGAAGGTGCTGTTCGCCCTCTGTCTGGAAACCTGCTCTCGTGGGGCCCCGCAGGGCCGGGGTGTACACAGAGGCACATCTGAGTGCCCCCCAAAGCAGCGTGGGTTGAATGGGCTCTGCTGATCCCCCAAGACATGTTCAGGGGGCCTTGCTGCAGGGCGAGGTCTCCCTGCTGCGCTTGCAATTCGCAGGGGAGCCCCGTGGCCGTGGCTAAGAGCAGAAGTGGCCAGTTGACCCGCCACCAGACCCCACTCTGTCGGCCCCCCCCACCCCGGGCTCAGGGTGAGAAGTGCACCCCTGCAGAAGTGGCTCTGTGCCCCCAGAAGCAGGGCTGCTAGAGGCAGCCCTGTGGCACCCAGCCCCCTCTCCAGTCAGAGCTGAGGGTGACCTCAGGGTGGCCTGGCAGGCTGACCGCTTGAACTTCTCCCACTTCCTGACCTCGCTCCAGACTTCCCTGTAAATGCCCGTTGTTAGGGAAGAAGCCTCCGGCTGCCTTGTGACTCCCTTCACCAGCTCGCCCAGAACTTCTAGCTCAGCACACTGTTGCCTGCAATCTGACCCTCAAGTTACGCTAACACTCCACACTTTCCCTAGGCCCCCACAGAAGCTGCACCCCTTTCCTTCCTTACCCACAGGTGCCGCCACCACCCGGCCCAGAGATCTGTAGTGATTCCGCTGGTGCGGGGAGTGCAGGAATCCACAACGTGCGCACAGGCCTGGCCGCCTGAGTGCCCGGCAGGGCCACCCCGCACAGGGAAGGGGAAGCGTCTCCTCACCTCGACCAGTGAGTCTGGAAGGACCCCGGAAGGGCAGGTCTCCAGCCCGGCAGAGCTGGGAATTCCCAAGGGAGCCCAGAGCATCCCTGTTCTGGGAACGGGCCCCTGGGGTCGGCCGACCTCTGCTGAGAGCCCGGGGGGGACCCCCACGCCCCTGCCTGCTCCTGGCGCCCTTCTCCTTCAGTTTCTCCAGAGATTGAAAAACCTAAGAGCCCCGAGGGCCCCTTACGCTCCCCAAGGAGAGCTCAGCGTGGACAGCTTACATCAGTTTACCCCCAAGACTCACTGAGCGTCCCCCCAAGCTCCACCCACAGGGTACGCTGGGGCGGTGCCCGTTCCCAGCCCTCGGGTGGACCCCCCGCCCCAGCCCGTCTCTCCCTGAAGCCTGGGGAAGCCTGTGTAGGTGTGCCTGGCCACCCTAGCAAACCGCAGACCTCGGCCTGACCCCAGAGATGCGCTGCATTGCAGCAGCGGCAAGTCGGGACCCCGCGGGGCAGGCGGCGTCCGGGCCTCGCCCGCAAGTCCCCCTCCTCTGTCCCCGTCCTGGATCCAGGATGCCACCGCCGTGTGCCCTGTGACTCGGGCCCTGCCCCCACCTGGTGGCTTCATTTCACCTTAATCGCTTCTGTAAGGACCCTATTTCCACCTAGGCACACCCTGAGGTCCGGGAGGGTTAGGATGCCAGCGGGAACTGGGGAGACAGCTCAGCCCAGAACAGCCTCGAGGCCTTGGAGATTGGCCTGATTGCCAGACAAGCACAGGGCAGAGCCTGGACCCCCCTCCTCAGCCCGGGCGGAGCTTCCATGCCCCTCCTGGCAGGGGATGCTGCTCCGGGGCATCTCCCCTCCCTCTGGGTGGCCCCCCTGCTCCTCTCGCCCTCAGAGTCTCAGGCTGGGAGAGAAGGAGGCTCACTGGCCACTGCTTTCACTTGTCCCTGCACGCAGGCCCTGGGCTGCCCGGGACCCCGGGGATGGAGCAGGACACCCTGCCCCCACCCTGGCCCCTGCTGCTGCGCCCCTGGTCCGAGGTGGGGGCTGAGGACTCTGTAACCTTAGAGGACAGCTCAGGGCCCAGCTCCCCTACCGGCCGGCCCCAGGCCGCCTTAACAATCCCAGGTTTAGGATGTGGGTCGCAGGTGTCCACATGGTGGGCCCTGGCAGTGCCGAACCGCCCACCTGCGGGCCTCAGAGCGGCCCTCCAACCAGGTCTCAACCGCGCCAGCCCCGTCGCGCCCTCAGATGCGGCCGCTGGGCCCCCTCCCTGGTGCCCTTGCCCATGGCTGCTGCTTGGCACGTCAGAAGCGGGAGAGCCTGTCTCTGGAATGCAGGGAGGAGAGCGCAGGCCTGCACTGCCCACGGCTGGGGCGGCCCCCTGGCCGGCAGTTGCTGCACCGCCCCACAATTGTCTGAAGCAGGCGCTTCCCCCCCCGTTTCCGGGACGAGCCCCTGGGGCCTTTCAGCCCGGTCCAGAGGTTCTTAGAACCAGCTTGTGAGACCCGGTTGCTCAACTTTAGGACATTTTCTGAGTCACTTGTTAATTGCAGCCGTTATTAAAACATATATAACCTTACAAACGAATAAATTATATTAAAAAAAAAGTGTAGAAATGCTCAAGACACAGTACACGCTCCTGATTTTCCTGTGCTTTTCTGCTACTGGGTCACGTGCCGTTTGGGGGCACAGAATGCTTTGCTCTGTGCGCTGTTCCCAGTTACACGGTGGCGGCTGGGCACTGGCCTGGGTGGGAATATTTACACCACGGACGTGGGCAAACTCTGCAGATTAGGGCATGGCTCATTGTCCTGCGGATGTCTGAAGCAGAGGTCAGGAAACGTCCTGTAAAGAACCAGATTGCATTTTTGGCTCTGAGGCCTGTCCTTGCTGGCGATTGCTCAACTCTGCTATTTCAGCTCGAGAGCAGCCGTGGACAGCCCGTGAAGGCACGCGTGTGGCTGTGTGCCAATAAAACTTTACTAAAAAAAAGTTTTCAATTAACCGTTTTTAATTGTGCTGGATTCGACGAAGCCTCCCGTTGGGCTGGTGTGGAGACGGGAGAAAGTGCAGGAGCGGATGTGCAGAGTGAAAGTCACTCTGGCCACTGTCAAACCGGTGAAGCTCTGGTATCTGTCTTGTCCTGTCTTCCTTATTTCACTTTCATCTTGCTTGTTTAGGAAAACGAAACCGCCAGCCAACCTCAGCCCGGGAACCACACTCACTCGCTAACTGGCGAGTTGGCTGCAGTTAGCATTTGGCAAAAAGTCAACAAAAGCACGTTGTGAGAACCGTCTTGCGAGGCGGGGTCTCCGCTGAGCAGTATTGTGAGTGGCATCATGATTTACAAATTGTGCACTCTAACTCTTTTTCAGCCACTGTAATTTATAATACGTGCGTGTGCCCACCCAGTTTTCTGGAGAGCTGGCTGTCAGCGTGCCAGCGGGCTTCCGGGAGCTGGGCGGCAGCCTGCTGGCCTAGCCGGGCCTGCCTCGCAGGATGACTAAATGGCCCTCCCACTCCATTCCCACTGGCTCCTTAGTCCACATCCTCTTTCCACCTCCCACGAAATACCTCCAGGGCCGCTCCCCGCCCGCCACAGATGCCCTGAGCGCCGCGGAGAGCCCACGCTCGCTTCCCTGTGCAGGCTCTGCCTGGTCTCTCTGACCAGCTGCACCCCAGTAATGCAGAGGCAGCACCTCCCATTGTAGCTCTGGTGTGGCCCCAGCACATGTTCTGCTGTGGGTGCAGGTCTGGGGTCCAGCCCCTTGCTCCAGCCACCCCTTGCCGGGTTCTCCCTTCCCACCCCGGGGGAGTACTCAGCTCCGGTCCGGCCAGGCCCATCTGGCGTTGGATGCTGCAGAGGGGGGAGCTGCCTCGTGCAGGGCCATTTGTCCCCAGACCCAGGCAGCACGATGGTTAAACAATAACCCTTTCTCTGACACAACAGCCTGGCACTTGCCCAATGAAGAACTGCCTAGAAGGGGCATTGACAATGCTGAAGTCCCCACTGTGACCTTTGTCATATGCCTTCGCTCTGTGGGTTGCCCCCCTGTGTCATTGTGACTGCAAGGAGGGTTGAGAGTGCCCAGCTCTCCCTGGGGCCCCCCACCCCCGCAGAGCGCGACACGTGTCCTGCCCAAGCCCTCAGGCGCGGCCTGGCCCTCCTCCCACAGGGGCTGACTCTCCCTGCCACCGGTTGGCCGGTCCTGCTACCTGACTAGCCGGGCAGCCACAGAGGCAGGCGTTGAATCTAGAGGTGCTTCTCCATTGCAACTCGCTGGCCACTGTCCTCAGCACAGGGCCCCGCCCCGGGAGACGGCTCTGCCGTCTCTTCTCCAGCTGGCTGCTGTGTAGCGCCTTGAACACGGTCGTAAGCGAATCAGTGTATCAAAGCAGCCTCTGGGAGTTGTCTCATTCGGCCCCCAGACTTACCAGCCTCCCGGTCATCTTGACCTGGTACATACGATGGTGCCAGTGTCCCCAACTCCTTCCGGCGTCATCGGGGCAAGGCGTCTCAGTGTGAAGTCAGTTCCGGCTCCAACAGACCGCTGGCCAAGCACGGCACAGCCCGAGTGGGGCATGGGCGAGCGGCCCCCGGAGCCCCGGGCTCGTCAGGTGCCTTCCTCCCAGCCCACCACCCCTTCAGCCCCCCACCCTGCCCCTCCCATCATCAGCTGCACCTTGGGGCCGCAGGACGTCAGCCTGCTTCTGAGAAAGACCACGGCCTGTCAGGCGAGCGGCTGCTCCTTACACCTGCTCTCAGAATGCGCCAGATCAGAACGCAGCGTCTCACGGGGGACATCGTCCTCCCACCTACCGCTTTGTTCTCCAGGTGACCGACTGGGACCAGGTACAGCTTGTGTCCCGTTCCCCGGGGCAGAGCCGGTCGGCCTGGCGCCTGGCCCTCGCCCCCAGAAGCCAGCGCGGGGGCGTCGAGCAGCCAGCGGGGCCTGCCCAGCCCCTCACTGCTCACCTGTTCGCTGGTCTGGGCTCTCACACCCCGCCGTACCCCCACTCTGTGAAGAACACCCCTCCGTGAGGCCAGGGGGCAGGGTCAAGACCCTGTGTGGGTGCCTGGCTGTCCCCACCCTTTGATGCCCAGCTTTCACGCATCCCCCAGGCCAACTTACTTTTTTTTTTTTTTAAAGATTTATTTATGCATACAGAACTGGGGTACAGAGGTGCAGGGGCGGTGAGAGGACTCACCAGGGACAGAGTAAGGAGCAGAGCAGATGGATCCGCTGAAACCCACTGCTGAGGGGAGCAGCGGGGAGACAGGAGAGGGCTGCTGCACCCTGGGGGTCACTCCCTGGCTGGGGATTGAACTCGTGCTGCGGGGGTTGCTGAGAGCTTCACAGTGCTGCGCCCTAACCCCCCGTGCATGGGGGTTGGGGGCCCCCGGGAGGATGCTTTGCAAGGGTGCAAGGTTCTGGCCACAGGGGGGCGGGGCGCTGAGCACTGGCCCTGGGTGAGGCCCCACACTGGGATGGGGGCTTGGCTGCCCCAGGCCCCCCAGCCCCCAGCAGTGCTCGGAGCTCCAGGGCCTTCCCCAGCTGCACTCTCACTCTAAGTGAGAACGGGCCTCCAGCAGGTAGAGAGGTGTCTGTCCACACCTGAGGCCACCTGGGTGGGCCCGGGCTGGTGCCCTGGACGGCACCAGGGTGTGTGGGTGTGAGGACTCCTGCCCGCGTTTCTCCCTGCACACCTGCAGATCCGGGCTTGGGAGAGGCCGTCTCCCCGGGCAGGTGGCCCAGAGCAGGGGCCTGACGGCGGCGGCCACCGTTTGCTTTATCCCGCAGCTGGGGGGTCCCGCTGGCCATCACCGCGGCCGCGGTGGCGCTCAAGAAGATCGGCTATGACGCGTCCGACGTGTCGGTGGGCTGGTGCTGGATCGACCTGGAGGCGGAGGACCACGTGCTGTGGATGCTGCTGACGGGGAAGCTGTGGGAGCTCCTGGCCTACGTCACGCTGCCCCTGCTCTACCTCCTCATCAGGAAGCACATCAGCAGGGCGGTAGGTGCGGCTGGCTGGGCCTAGGAAGCCTGGCGGCTTGGGGGCGGCCCCTGCCGCCCTGGCTTGGCGCGCCCCCACCCCCACCCGGCGCCCCCAGCCCGCAGCGCGAGCGGCCTCCGCGTGGTCGCGGCGCTCGCCTGCCCCCTCCTGGACAGAGCGCCGCGGTGCTTCCCGGGGAGGAGTCCCCTGGACGGGACACCCCGGGGCGCAGAACCTGTGGCCTCCTTACGATCTCACGATCTCACGCGCTGCGCAGAGGGCGCTCCCGGGGCCCTGGGCGTGCCGAAGCCGGCAGGTCCCGGGGCCGTCGGCAGCCCCGTTGGCCGCAACAGCCAGGAGAGTGGTTTCGGCCGACAGCCGGGCCGCGCCTGGTCCAAGGCGGGTCTGCAGGCCGAAGTCCAGACCCGCCGCCAGAACGGACCGCGCTGCCGCGCGCTAGGTTTCACGCGGAAAGCCCAGGGCAGCAAGGCAGAGCTTGCCCTGCCTCCTCCCGCACCCCAGGTGCCGCAGGGTGTAACTAGGGGTCTGAAATCCTCTTTGGGTGGTCTCCTGCCCGCCTGCTCACCGCAACCTCTTTCCGCCACCCTGGGAAGGTTCCAGAGCTCTTTGGACCTGTACCATCTCCACCCCCTCAGGTGCCCCCATGGGGTGTCCCCCTGAGCCCCTCCTCTCGCACAACTCTGGGGCTGTGGTCTGCTGGGCTGACCCCCCACTCTGAAAATGGGTCCTCTCCCCGCCTTTCGCAAGTTTTCCCAGGGAAAAGGGAGATGCTGGAGGTGGGGTGTCCGTGCTGGACCCCTCTAGCCGGGGAGGAGAGCGGAAATTATGAGCGAGCCAGCGTCTCTGACAGCCCCTATCCAGCACCCCAATCTATGGGCTCTCTGGGGTTCTGGGACTCCATGCGCAGTGTGAGAGGGAGCAGGTGCGCCGAGCAGGTGAGTTACGGGCGTTGCGTCCCGGCGACGCTGGCAGGTGTGAGGCTCGCCGGGACCCAAGTGTGAGGCTGCTCCACATGCTGGTGGCACCGGCAGGGACAGGGCGCCAGGCCGGGGTCTCTGGCCCAGGACCGGGGGTGAGCACACCGCCTGGGGGCAGCGGAGGGCACGGCCCCCAGCCGAGATGGGCGCCTGTCTGGGCCAGAGGGGCCCGGGGCGGCCGGGGAAGGTGGCGGCTGGAGGGGACCCGGGGTGAGCACACTGCCTGGCGGCAGCGGAGGGCACAGCCCCCAGCCAAGATGGGCCCCTGTCTGGGGGGGGGGGAGCAGGGGACTGGGGCGGCCCGGGGAAGGTGGCGGCTGAAGGGGACCCGGGGTGAGCACATCGCCTGGCGGCAGCCGAGGACACAGCCCCCAGCCGAGATGGGCCCCTGTC